CGCAGAGCAGAGTCTACTATTGTCACAGCTATTTAAATTTAGTTATGTGTGTATATATACACATATATATATATATATACACACACACACACACATATATATATATACACACACACATATATATATATATAAAATAATACACACAAATACAATGTTATATGTAACGTATATGTTAGTTGTAATTCCTATTCAACGATGTAATTGTTATATAACGCATGTGTTATGTTATTATTAACAGTTATATTATTGAATAGGAAATTACAATTAATATATACATATACATTATATATAATATTATGTTTTGTCTGGCTGTATGTATATGTATATATATATATATATATATATAAAATTTAAATAACTGTGTAATGGCAGGCTCTGCTCGGTTTCTGCCGCCAATTTGTTCGCATAATATGTCAGTAGGCTCTGCTCAGTTTCTGCTGCCAATCTGCTGACATAGCATGTCAGCAGGTCTTGTCGACAAATCCCAAGCTTAATCTTGCTTAGCTTAGCTTTTCTTGTAGTATTTTAACATAACATAACATCCATAACATGGGTGAAAAGAAATTCATCTCCGATAGCGATCTCTGTAGTCTCTCCTGCCGACCCTTAAGTATCTAGCAAACGAGAACGAATTGAATTGAATAAATTTGAATCAAATTTCCGAATCGTGAAAAAGATATTTAATTTTATAGATATTGGATCACAGTATATACTGAACACTGAATTCGTTTTCTATACGTCTAGTTACAATAATGATTCAAAAATAAAAATATGAATCCATTCCCTATGCTTGTAGTTATATCGCAGTATATACAGTAGCGCAACTCTCCCGATTTCAGCATATGTAAAAATGAACTGCATATGTGCGAGGTATGTAACCAATCAGGGCACAGATATTCCGTCTCACTTCTCCTCTATAATTTCTCCATTTGTTAGCTTGAGATGTCTATACAAGCATTTAACGTTCAACAGAAAGTGACGGGAACATACATCTCATAGGGTTATAAAAACATTAAAATTTTAACTTTAATTGTTAAGTTTTTTTCTTTACTGCTCTTTCCTTGGTTCGTATCGAAATGAATCGACTAGTTGAGGCACAAACTAATATTGATGAGTTGTATGGAAGAAATAAATAAAACATTAATTTAAGAATACTAGAAATTAAGGCATCTTAATTTGTTTAACATTGCATCTGTATTTAAATTTCATGTTTATTATTGTATGTTTATTATTGTATTATTGTATCTTTTAATATGACATAGTTTTAATTATATTAATATTTGTCAATATTTGTTTCTTCATTTTCTAAATCTATATTGTTTTGTGTAAGTATGTGATTTATGAACTTTTTATTTCTATTCATTATTTATTTATTTCATTCATTTATTATTTGCATAGTATAATACTTGTTTTATATATTATATAGAGTTAAATTGATAAAGATACACTAACGATATTTAAAAAAAATTTATTAACAATAAATATACTATTTATATATTCACAATATATTTAACATATTGTTTTATCTAATGTATTTTTCTTTTTACTTTTTTAATTTGCATATTTGCATATACATTATCATATAATATATTACTTTAAATAAATTAATAGTTTTATATAATAAATTTATGTTTTTTTTAAATAATTTGTAACTTTTTTTGTTTCAGATATAAATTGCTAATTAGTTATTAACAATCGTTATTAACTTTGTTAATTAACTTTTATTTTTAGAAAAGCCATGTATAATTTTATTTGTGTAATACGACAATACATAATATAATATAGCAATACAAATTGATAAAATATAAAATAAAATTTATCTAAAATTATTTTTTATATTTAAAATTTAACTTTATTTCTGTATGTATATTTCATTGAAGAATATATAATGAAATAAATACCAAGAAATAAATTTCATGCGCCTATGTATATTTCTATTCTAAACGTACACTGTACATGAGCGCATTGGCTCGTTCCCTTTTTTCCTGCGCATAGAAAAACAGACTTATGCACACTGGGATATGGATTATTGTAAATAAACATGGCGGACAAAATGCCGGCTGATAATATACTCAATATATATTTTTATTGGAATTCAATATGGCTATAAAATCTCCTTTATATAACTTTTTACGATATTAGCACTTATTGTCTAGCAGTTATTGCCGCTTGAAGTTCGGCAGTTACATCGAACATCCACAATTCATTGTCAACATAAACTTACAACTTTTTAAGAGACATCTTTTCCACCTAAGCGCATGGACTACGCATGGATTACGCACGACCTCGAGAGCTGAAGCTGAAGCAGCCCATGCGTTCTCATGTGCTGCGCGATATGATAGGGGAAATTGTTTTTATACGCGCATGAACTGCGCATGGAATGAAACGGAACGACCTCATTCATTCTCCATGTGCATCATGCGTGCAACGGTACGTACCCTTACTGTATATATCGTGATATATACAAAACTCGTGGACTCGAGTGGATAATAAAAGCAAATGGCCAATCCACAATTATGAATTGAAACGGATTGGTAGCAAGTTTGATTTTGATAATCATTAGATGAGATAAAAGCAAATGGTTAATCTGTATTTACGGATTCAAATGGATTGATCGCACGTTTCATTTCTCATCGCACATTGGATAAGATACAAAAAGTAAATAGCCAATCTAAGTAAATAGCCAATCTTCAAGTGAATCACTAATTATAGATTGACTATTTATTTTTGATAATGAACCACGGATAGAAAATAAATATAAAATTGAAAAATAGATTCAAAAAATCCAAAAACTTCATTTGACATCACTTTAATGAATAATTTATCAATATTTTCCAATTATTTTTCGTTTGCTGGGTAAGTATGATCTTGACTATATGTGATCATTTATAGCAAAAGACAGGCTACAATTGTATGTAATGAAAAGTACATGCTGTCAGTTAAGAAAATCAAGATATATTTGAAATGGCCTTAATGATTCCACTCCAAAAAAATTAACATCATCAGATAATGTCCTCTTCGATAAACGTCGCTGAAAAATAAAGATTTCATATTTCTCGTTCAGTTTCAGGAATATTAAATTATAACATTTTTAGTGAGACACTCTGTATAAATACTATACTTAAATGTATAATCAGTAAATTAATACAATAAGAGCTAACATTAAGTGTTTAAAATGAGTATATTTAACAAAACAATTTGTATTCGTTTCGATCTTAAATTTGAATCCTTTTAAATATAATACAACAGAATAATACAAATTGTTACAAATATAATAAATTAGAATGGAATAAAAAACAGAGGTCTATAATTAATAGTCAAAAAGATAAAATATTGTGCAGGGCATAATCAAAACATGTTACATATTTTTTATATTATATTTTTAGATTTATATTGCTAAAAGATATATCTTTTCATAAAAAATACAAAACATCTTAAAACATGATAAGATATTTAGAAGTTTAAAAATCTTTTAAGTCATTAGCATTATATTTTTTAATGCTTCTGAAATGTTGCTGTATGTTATCATATTGTAATATCATACTGTAATATTATATATCTACAAGTTTCTGTTATATTGCATTGTATCCAGCACATTCAACATTCGGAAATAGATTAAAAATGAATTGAAAATTTCTAATCCATTTTAATTCATTTCAATACCTTTTAGATTGAAAGAATAGGAAGCACTTTCTTTCAATTCCGTTTCATGGATTAAAATGAATTGCACACATAACTTTCTTTTGGAAGAATAGGAATCCCGTAATTTTAATCCTGTTTCAAGGAATTAAAATAGATTGACGTACCCCACGTAATCTTTTTTTGGGTTGACAGCATAGGAATCTCGTAGTTTCAATCCTACTTGGATTAAAATAGATTCAAAGAGTTCTTAAACTTTAATTGAATTGAAATGAATTAAAAAAAATCAAGAATTTGAATTCGGCAATGACCACACAAAGCCATTTCTATCCATTTCCGTTTGCTGAGCATATCTGAAATGATCTGTGTGTGAATAATGTGCGTTATGAATTATAATGACCTTGCAGTTTTTAATAATTTCTCAAGAAATATAATCTTTCTCTCTCAAATTAAAATTATTTTTGATGTTATGTGAGTCACTTTATCTATTTGAAAATTAGAAAATATTAAACAATCTGATAATTTATAAACAACTAAATATGTAAAGTAGTATGTTCAATAGAAAATACATGATTCGAATATTACACAGTCGGGCAGGATTTCTTACGGGAATTAATATTATCAAAACATAGTAAAAGAAAAACATAACTTTTGCCTATGTTTTCAAAGATCATAAGTAAACAGCATGTAATCAGCAAGAGAGGTCAAAATCATTTTCCTGAATTTAATGAATTTAAAAATTAAGAAGATTAATAAGCACTTAAAATTCTGCTCGTGTAATATCTAAATTATCTGTTTCTTGTTAACTTATATTTATTTTCAATCAAATATATATTTATATTTTATCCGGTCAAAATGTCTGTAATAAAATTCTTTTCTATGAAACATCAAAAATATTCAATTCTATTTATATTTTTCTTCATATATTACATTCTCGTAAGAATTATAGATAAAATACTACGTGCATGGAAGCGAAATTAACATTGAAAATTGCCTCTCAAATAAATCACAAGAATTCTGTTCTAATTCATATACGATGGTTTCAACATTAATGATTTTCTTTCTATAAGAATCAATATAAATTATATGTACAAATTATATAATTTCAAAATCGAAATTTAAAGATGTTGCTCAATTTTTGCATAGATATTTAAAAATAATAGTAGAAATTTACGAAATTTATGCTTTTTCTGTTTTAATATAATAATACATATATTCTCAATAATAATGAATAGATAGTAATTAACTTATTATAGCCCCACACACACTATATATATATATATATATATAATAAAATAAACATTAATAAAATTCTTATATTTTAAAATTAATTATCGGAAGTTATATTATGTTGTAATTTTCAATTTTAATAAAATACAAAACCAAATACATACATACTAATAATAATAGATTATTTTATTTTAATATAATTTGTATGTTTTCATGTACAAACACATTCACACATATTACAAACATATCATACGTCAGTAACGCTCAGTCAGTACTTTTTTCACGTTACTAAAAAGATATGGAAGATCAAAATGAAAATATATAATAAATTTAAATCTTTTCAAAATCTACAATTAAATATCGATGACATGATTTAACAATACCGCGGTTAATGGTGTTTCGTATAGAAAGTGAATTTAATTTCGCTTTCTTTAACAGCACTGACAATTACGAAAATATTCATGATTCAATTATCATACTTATGAAGTTATATATACATCTAAATTGTTTATAAATTTGACAATAAAGGTTGCACTTTGAGAAAACTTAAGGTAACTATACATTGTATAGCTACACCTCTAGAACAAGTCTTTCGAATGAGTTTTATATTACTTTATTACATTATTACAACTCGTCATGCTGTTCCTCTCCCTCTTCATCATCATCTTTTTTGTCCTCCACATCAACATCTGATACCTTGTCTGTCTCGCTTGTTAATTCCTCCTCTTGCATTTCCTCCTCCTCTGGTACCTCATCAAGAGAGATGCCCAAGCTCTTTCTCATTAGTTGTTCTACACTGTCTGCAAAACTGGCAGTCTCTCGAAGCATGTAGCCCGATCGCAAAGTTGCCGTACGGAACATCATTAGTGCTATGTCTTTGGCCGTCTGATCAGATGAGTCAATCTCAACTCTGCGCAACAATTCTCTGATGAGTGGATGCCTCGGGTTAATTTCCAGCGTTTTCTTTTGATTCATATAATAGCTCTTCTGCGGATCATCGGTCTTTTGATGTGCATTAGAGATTGCCAAGCGTTCCATATTGCCAGTCCAGCCGAACATACTGGCAACCAAAGCACAAGGTGAATCAGTTAGACGCTCGGACACTTGTGCTTTGCTAATATAATCCTTCAAAATATCACTTAACCATTTGATCAGAGGTTCAAATGTCGTCTTTAATTGCTCCATTCGTTCCTTTGCCTGTTCGCCTTCATCCAATGTAAAACCCTCCTTAGCTACATTCTGAAACTTCTTACCATCGAACTCTGGCAACGCTGATATCGCATACTCATCCACAGCTTCTGTTAAATATAACACTTCATAACCCTTCTTGTCCAGACGTTCGACGAATGGAGATTTCTTCACTTCATCCTCGGATGAGCCGGCAATATAATAAATATGTTGTTGGTTAGGCTTCATACGGGAGACATATTCAGGCAGGGAGGTCATTTCCTTCTGCGTTGAAGAATGGAATTGTAACATTTTAGACAATCTCGCACGATTCTGAGGATCCTCAATTATGCCTAACTTGATATTTGTGCTGTATTCCTTCCAAAACTTCTGATAATCTTCTTTAGGGATCTTTTTGATCATATCCAGTACTTTTCTGATAAGTTTCTTCTTGATAACCTTAATTAACTTATGCTGCTGGAGATTCTCACGTGAAACATTGAGTGGCAGATCATCGCTATCCACGATACCACGAATAAAGGATAAATAATTTGGCATCATATCAGTAAATTTATCAGTGATAAAGACTCGTCTAACATACAATTTAATGTTGTCGGACTTTGTACCATAACGATTAAAGCTGTCATTCGGTTGAACCTTCGGAATGAAGAGGACAGACTTAAATGTGACTTCACCCTCTGCAACGAAATGTGTCTTCGCTAAAGGTTCCTGGCTATCTTTAGTGAGTGTCTTGTAAAATTCAACATATTCCTTTTCATCGACATCATTCGGTTTTAATGTCCAAATTGGTTTTGAATCGTTTAATAATTCCCAGTCCCATACAGTCTTGTCCACTTTTTTAAGCTTCTTTTCATCTGCATCCTCTTCTACTTTTGCGTCATCCTCTCCCTCCTCATCTTTGTCAGCGACATCATCTTTCTCCAAATCTTCCTTCATAGGCTTATCCTCTTCAACTTCTTTTGCATCAACTTGTATAACTTTGCTATTCCACAAATATATCGGGAAGTTAATGAATTGCGAATATTTTTTTACTAAAGTCTTGATTGTATCAGGTTCTAAAAAATCTGATGCTTCTTCTTTCAAATGTAAACTATAAAATAAAAAATGCAATATTAGATATATTTTATTCCATTTTTCAGAAGTACAGAATATATACATCTTTATTCGCTTACTACACACACACACACACACGCGCGCGCGCGCGCGCGCGCACGGTGTGTGTGTGTGTGTAATATTTTATATTATATATAAATATTATATATAATTTTATATAATGTATACATTTTATATATATATACAATATAAAATCAACAGTATAGTTATTGAAAAACTTTTTAACTTTATAAAAGTAAAAGCAAAAAGACTTTGAATAATATTGATGAACTGCAAGTAAAGAGTATGGCAATAAAAATAATACAATATACCTTACAGTTGTTCCTCTCTTCAAAGTATCTCCTCGTGGATCTTCAACAATGCTATAGTTAGAACTATCAGATTCCCAAATATATTGCTTATCATCATTATGTTTGGTGGTAACAACAACAACATTTGCAACTAAATATGCAGAATAAAAGCCTACGCCAAATTGACCAATCATATCATTCATGTCCTGAGTGTTTGTAACTTCTTGCATTTTTCCTAGGAACTCGGCTGTACCAGATTTGGCGATAGTTCCAAGATTATTCACTAAATCTTGCTTTGTCATGCCAATACCAGAATCCATTATATGCAATACTTTGTTCTCTTTGTCTGCTTTTATTCTGATGGCCAATTCAATGTTGGTATCTAAGACACTTTTATCAGTGAGAGACAATAGTCTGATTTTGTCCAGTGCATCGGACGCATTTGAGATCAATTCTCTGAGATAAATTTCTTTGTTACGATACAGAGAATTAATAATAAGTTTCATCATACGATTAACCTCAGTCTGGAACACAAATTTTTCAGCCTTTTCTCGTAATTCTTTTACCTGAGCGGTATTTAAACCATCAATCTTTATTGCTTCCTCTTCTCTTTCTACTGCTTCATGATCTATAACAAAATTTAATGTCATTTAATAGCATAATATATGCATATACAATAGCATATATATATATAAAATTATATATGAAATTGTTTACAAAAAAACTATTTATGGAATAGATATCAAATATATAAGTATAACAGTACTTATTTCAGTTCAAACTTTTTAAACAGAGTTTTTCCTATGTGTTTAATAAATCTATAATAGTATAACAATATGTAATAGTAATATGTAACATATAAGTATAACAGTACTTATTTCAGTTCAAACTTTTTAAACAGAGTTTTTCCTATGTGTTTAATAAATCTATAATAGTATAACAATATGTAATAGTAATATGTAACATATGATATGAAGTATAAAGTATGTATAAATTCCAAATTAATCTAAGAATTGAATAAATCATATCATTTGCAAAAAATTCTGCTTTTGTAAAATAAACCTGCGCTATTCTAAATTTTATTACAATATTTAAATAGTCTCGTCTTCTTTACACTCTCTAACAAATTCCTCCCACTTGTTACATCTTTTTCAAAAGTCATGCAGTATCAAGCAAATCAATTTCCTGTATTTGTAAATTAAATTATAAGATAAAAACCTGTTCGCGATGCATCACGGCTGGCACCAAGATCATTTTCCACAGTACCAATGTTCTCCTCAATTTCATCCTCAGCCCGGACAAATCCTAAAAAGCGATTAAATATGTGAAAAATATCGGAATACACGTTTCATTTACGATGAAAGAACGAATCGTTTTCATTGGAAAATACGAAGCCACTTACCCGCCAACAAGAATAATCCCACAATCAATACGAAAAGTTTCTTCATCATTACCGCGAGTAGTAACGTGAAGAACCGTGAACGATCCTGAGAAAGCAATTACCAATGAACTGAATAGTATAGTTACTCGGCACAACAATGTTCCACTGTTTCTTCACCACGACTGTCATGGAACGGCCACGACAGCGACGCGATATAGACACCGGCTGGACGGCCGTCCAATCACATTGAACCACGGCAACACGTGCCAGCCAATGTCAAACGCGTCCAGCGGCAATTCCGTACAAATGGCGTCTCCTGATTGGTTCGGCCATATACATGTCTTTCTTATCGTTCTAGAAAGTTCATTCGCACGAGATATGCCAACGTGCATGTAGCTTCGAACGTAAACAGCATTATTTCAATCATGAAAATCGAATTATCAGTAACTGTGAAGTATGAAAGTATGAAAAATATGTGCTTGATACATTGTCGGTCAAGTTAAGTAAATCGAACTTGAATTATTTTCAATCCCAGTCTTGGTTCGATCTATTACTATCTATTAAAAACGGTTATTTATCGGCCAATGTTTGTCATGTATGAAAATGATATAAAACAATTTTCTTCAAACATGTGTATTTTGATTATTTTATTATTATACAATACTACTTAATGATTATAATAAGCAATACAATCGTCAATAATTGGCAATAACAATTTTATTAATGCAGATGATTTTTATTAATAAAATTAATAGATTAATTTATCATTGATACAGAAGACAAAATTTTATTTGATAAAATAGGAATCTTTTATTATCAACATTTCATAAGCGAGGAAACGTGCAAATGATTATGAAATGTGAACTCTTTTTAAATATTGATAAGTAGTGATTTTGATTATTGTATTTATAAAGCCCAAAACACAAATTATATATGACAAACGAACATTTAACGGTGATTCCATAATTATGTTTTCAAATTTACTTTATGTGTAAAAGAAACAATTCACATAAAAAAACTTTTAAAAAATTATCTCGATGTTTTTGAACTTTTCTGAAGATAGCTAAAGAATCAAAATATAAAAATATAAATTAGATGTTTCTGTTACAATATTTCACAATATTTATGACATTGCAGAATACTTACAGAATTGTTGCACGTAAAATGTGAAACTATTTTGAATTCTTTCTGAAAGCTTTTTACAAACAATACTATATGGAAATGATATCTCTTTGATCGATTCACAAGAAACTATCAAGATTCTAAGATATCTTTTAAATATAATCATAAGATATCAATATGCAGTCTTGTCGAAGACACTTAATTAGGAAATTAGCTATTTTTTTAACGTAGAATTAATAAAATATTAAAATCGAAAATATAATTTCTAAAATTTTCTGTATTTTGTATCTGTTTTTTTATCTGCTATCATAGTATTCAGTCATATGCATTGCGTTAGCGATAAACATCGTTGCAACTAAATTTGACCAAGTATATTATTAATTTGCAAAATTGAGTAAGTTAATATTATTTTTCAGTTAAATTAAATCAAAGTTAGCTTATAAGATTAATTTAGTTATGTTAAAAATTACATGAACAAAAAACTCAGTTAAAAGTTGCGTTTAAATTAAATTAATTTAAATTAAATTAAAAGTTAATTTTAAAAATCTTTATTTATATTAAATTAGAATGTCGTAATTTTTTAAAATTAAAATATTTTGAGTAACAAAATAATTATAATATAGATTATCAAATAAATTTAATATTTTATTTGTAAATTAAGTTTATATAAAATAGCAAAGAGATATTATTTTTTTATATAAGAATGCGCTTTTTTTTATAATTTTTTTAAAAATAAATTTCTAATAATTTTTAACTTTTTAACTAGTTATCTAATTACTAGCCAATCTGTTATTTTGTCATTTTGCTAATTGTTAGTTTATAATCATTCAAAAGTAAATAAATGTAAGAGTTCAAGAACACAGAATACATAATATTGTGTGTACTAGCATAGGTAGCTAGCAACTATGTTATCTGAGGAACTCTAGAGCTAATCAAATATGTACGATAATTTCTCTTGTTCTTTGACAAAGATTATTGCGATGTTGTTTGGTCTGAGTTTATTGATGTAGAGTTTAAATTTATCAATATCAATCTAGGTCTATCAATATCAATGCAGAAGTCAAGGTAATATTATCATGCATTACTGAAATAAAAAGTTACGTGATAGTTTATTTCCAATATATAAATTTATATTATATGACATTTAGGGTTGAGAAGTAATGTAACGCATTATTTCTCAACCCGAATGAACTTGTAACGCATTACTTGTTAACACATTTACTTTTTTTAGAAACAAATTAGTAAGAGCGCTATTGTTTTTCGTTTGTAATGATAATGTAACAAATATAATCGATATCCATTTTTATTTTGCATACATTATTATCTTTCATACCCCCCCCCCCCACCCCAACACCCACACACACACATATATATATATATATATATATATATATATATATATATAAATATGTATAACATGCAATAGAGCATTAAGATGCTATATCACGTAGCAACATCTTGTGATTAATAAAGCAAGAACGGCGCAAAAATATTTTATAGAGCTATGAAAATATTAATAAATTAAAAAATTATAAATTATAAATTATAAATTATATAAATTATAAATTATAAATTAAAATTTTAATTTAATAAATAAATTATAAATAAACTTTGAAATTAAAATGTAAAATTTCATTATAGTAATAAATTATTTATATTAGTTATTTATATTATTCTTATGTGAATAAAGACATACGTAAATATACATATAAAAGCCACAAGAGATATTTAAAGTAAAACGCATAATACACCTTGATCGCAACTTATGATCAGCATATATAAACCAGATCGACCATCGGATAGTAATGATAATAATCTCAGCAATTGTTCTCTTAACAATCCAAGTGTTCCTCAATCCCGCCCCCTCTCGTCCCTCATTCTTCTTCAATTTTGCCTCTCAGAAAAACAATCAGTCATCAATGATTGATCAATCAATCAGTTACGCTTGCAATCGACGCGGTTCACAAAGCGGATGCGATGGGCGTGTTGTGACAAATCGGTCGTTATGGATACATAGTGACGCTTCAGGGATCTAATATATAGACCTATACATCGTTCAGGGTGTGTACGTAATATATGTTGTCGCTATCGTGTCATTACATTATAGGATTTGTGACTATCCGTTATGCCGAAGAACCGTCACTCACCTTCCGGTTCTCTTGGAAAAAACGTCGCCGCCGTTGCCGCCACCGCCGCCTCCACGAAGAGTAAGCTAAACTGGCCAGAATTCTTCTGTTCCTTCTTCCCTGACTGATCTTATAATTTCTCTGTCTTCCGCTCCATTACGTTCGCTGAAAGCTGTAAAGTGAGGTGAGTGATGCCGCACGACACACGTATAAACAGTTAACTAATTTCGATCGCATATTTATCTTTCTGCACATTACTTTTTCATAATTTATTTGGTTAAATTGTCACGCTTTTTTGCTTGTAAATGCTCTGAGAATTATCTGCGAATTGAAATCTAGCAACGAAATTTGAGAGAAGATAATATTAAGGTACATTCAATTTCATGGATAATACATTATAATAATTTTTAAATAATATTGCATTTATTTGCGAAAAATATTTTTTAAATCTCCGTATTAATGAATATAAGTTTTCAAAGCTTTCAAACATAGTGATTAAATGTTTATAATAATAATTATAATTTATATTCTGATCAAGACAAATAATAAAAATAATAAAAATTACGATTATACCTAATTAATTAATTAATCTGAAAACTATACTTAAAAACTATAAAGTTAATTTTAAATGTAATAATTAAGATAATTTTATAAATTAATAAACAATTTTGTACTAACTTATTTAATTCATGAAATAATGACTTTTTCTTTCTCTCTCTCTCTCTCTCTCTCTCTCTCTATATATATATATATAATATATATATATATA